TTATTTGGCCCCCCAAGCTTCCTTAGCCCCTACTCACTGATTGAGAGGCCTGGGGTTCCAAAGCAGCTGCTAGGAGTACCCCCAACCTTGGCCTCCCCTGCAGGATTCAGGGAAGAGCTGAATTCAGCAAAAATTGAGCCAGTCAGGAGACAGCCCATGTCTTCTGTGGGAGCATGGCTCCTTGATAGATTGCCCCTGCGGGGACACAGTGGGACACTGCAGAAAGAGGGAGGTTCTGCACCCACCTCGGCACCCCGCCCCCCCATCCAGGGGACCGAGTTGATGTGGGCTTGTGGTGTGGGCTGTCACAAACCCTGGGTTCACTCCGTTGAGAAGCAGAGGAGAGGAGGGTCGGTGAGGCAAGGACCGCATGCCATTAGCAGCCACAGATGCCCGCTGCCCCTCTGCTGACTTTCAGTGGTGTGGTTGCCCACCTGTGCTACCTGTGGCTGGTCTGGAATTCATATGACAGATGGCGTCTGTGCACGTGCATGCCTGGCAGCAGAGGACAAATAGGGGTAGAAAAAGCAGGTAGCTGAGCTGTGCACATGTGCTGTTCCTGCAGTACACGCCCTCTGTGTTTCCCACCCACCTCAGGCACTGGGGCTATCTCCCCCACCCTCCTGAGTCTGGACCCGTCCCCATCCGCCAGCCCGTGCCAGCCCAGGTTAACGCTGGCCCAGAAGTTGGAGGTTGAATTCCACCGGGAGTCGCCGTAGAGGACAGGCCTGTGTTGAGAGCACAGCTCCGCACTGGCACGCACAGTCACCACTGGGCGGCACCTGGCTTGGTGGTGCAGACTAGCCAATCACCCAGGTTCCTGTTGCCAAAGCACCCATCCCTCCACCATGCATCCATTCGGTGTTCAGGTGCAGCAGGGGGCCCTAGTAGCACAGAGGTTAAAGTGGGCAGCCAGCAACCAGGAGGTGGGGGTCCAAACCTGTCCCCTCCCGCCCCCAGGGTAGCCCCACCCAGGCCTCTGCAGCATAGGTCAGTGACTGTGCATGTACTTCATATAACAAAAGCCAGAGGGGTGGGTTTTTGCATGATTTTTTTTTTTTGCATTTGCCTTTTTGGGGCCTGATGGTTATGCCCACAGGGTCATTTCTCCTCTGCCTTAGAGGATCACCACAAATCAGCATAGACTCCCTGGGAGTGAGTTTTGTTTTTTTGCTTTTGGAGGGGTATGTGTGTCCTCTGTGTCTTTGTGTGCAACCATTGCACCTTCTCCTGGCTGTAGATGTGCCACGCTGCATGCCTTAAACGGCCACTCCTTGGAGGGAGGCGTTTGAGTGGTGCCCAGCATCTGCTGTTAAAACTGGAGCTGCTGTGAATGTCCTGTCAACAGCAAGCCACGCTCCCTGCCTTTGGATCAGTTCTGACTCGAGCGACCCCGAGGACAGAGTTGAATGGCCTCTGAGGGTTTTACTCGTGCAGAAAGCCTCATCTTTCTTCCGCAGAGCTGCTGGTGGCTTCGAACTGCTGACCCTGTGCTTAGCTGCTCAACCTGTAATGCAGGAGACCACCAGGGCTCTTTGGATGCTGTTTGGGGAACACGTGTACCCCTACCTTTCTTCCATGTGGACACTTGATTTTAGAATTTGAAGTAGTTGCTGAACCTCTCTGTACATATAAACCTGTGATGATTTCATCTTGTGTGCCAGTGTTGGTTATTTGGCATCGATATAAGAGAGAATTTTCTGGAATGAAAAAGAAAGAGAGGCTTTTACCCGGGATTGGAATTGCTGGGTCATTGGTCATGCGGGTGTACTCCACGCACATAGCCTGGGTGGTTCAGGCTGGATCAACATCACCACGGAAGAAAGGCCTGGCAATCAGCCAAGAAAACCCAGCGGGGCAGTTCGCTCTGTGGCACATGGCTCGGCCTACCTGGACTCCAGTGGGTTTTTCTGTTTGTGTATCTGTGGTCTCCCAGGGTGGTGGCTTTTCTACACAAGAGCTGCTCACCTGCTGTGCACGAGGGTCCTCCCCTGGTAGGCATCAGTCTTTGTGAGTCCAGTCGTCCTGGATGAGATGGATCGGCACAGTGGCTGCAACGAGGGGTTCACATGTAACAATTGTGGGGATGCCGCCATGTGGCCTTCTGTTATACACAGGGTGGCTGTGAGTTGGCACTGGCCCGATGACTCCTAACAACAGCAGTAGCCAGGGTGACAGTCTTGGGTGTCATAGTGGCTCCACCTTGAACTGGGTTGAGGCAATCGGGGAGAAAGACGAGGCTGTCTGCTCCCGTGAAGATCTCCAACCTCAGGAACCCACAGGGGTGGTTTCCCTTGTCCGCTAGGATTGCGACCGGTTGGCAGTGGGTTGGGGTTTGCTCAGCCTGCAAGAGCAGACGGCTCACCAGGGGCCTCTCTCTCTCTTCGAGAGACATGCTTGGTGCCTTACCTCCCTCTCCTGCACACCCACGCTGCCTGCACCCTCAGTCAGGGACCGCCACTTTGCGGCAGTGATGTCCGACAGACCATGGCATAACTCTTCCTCAGGTGACAGATCCTTAATGGGCCCGGGCCGACAAAAACAAACTTGGCTTCAAACTTGCCTGTGGGTTCAGTAAATATTTAACAGGCCGAGTTCCCATTCTCTCCTCTGCCTTTCAGGGCTCCATAAATCACCAACCCCCTTCCTGTGGGAAGCGGCCCTTCTCGCTGACCCCACTCTGTCCCGGAAATCCCAGGCTGGCAGCCTGGGGTGGCTTCTTCGGGAGCTGAGGAATGAAGGGGAGATTGGGGGGTGGGGGTGGGGAGGGACTTGGAGAGCCCCTTCCCTCTGCGCCCGCTGCCCTTCCACGGCCGAGCACAGAGGACAGTGTGTCTGTGGTCCCAGAGCAGTCCTCTGAAGGACGTGGATGTCATTGCCCCACTGTACAGGTAGAGAACTACGAGATAAAAACCTGTCCCCACAGTCTCGTACCTCGTGCTTCTGGCAGTCTGACTTGCAGCTTCACAGTTTTCACCTGTGCTTGGTCACTTCTCTCTCATTTCTGCCTCAACCCATCTCTCCCTGTGGTTAAAGGCTACACCCAAAATATCAAAATCCCCAAATCAATTCCAACTCAGAGTGACCCTACAACCCAGGGTAGAACTGCCCCCTCTGAGTATCCTAGACTGTATCTCTTTATGGGAGTAGAGAGCCTCGTCTCTCTCCCCTGGAGTGGCTGGTGGTTTCCAACTTCTGATCTTGCAGTGAGCAGTCCGGGGCATAACCCACTCCACTATCAGCTGGAGGAGACAGACCCTGAACAAACAGGAAGTCATCGGCTAGTCAGTGAAGGCTGCGTGGAAACAAAGCAAGTGTCCTGGACTGAAGAAACTCCAAACCAAGCCCACCACCACTAAGCAACCAAGCCCACCACCACCAAGCCACCAAGCCCACCACCACCATTCTGACTCATAGCAATCCTGTAGGAGACAGTTTCTAAGATGTATTTCTGTACGGTAGTAGAAAGCCCTGTCTTTTCTTCTCAGAAAGGCCGGTGGTTTCGAACTGCTGACCTTGCAGTTAGCAGCCCAACTCGTAATGATTATGCCGCCCGGGCTCCTCTAAAAGGTGACATCATGCGGGTGCAGAAGTAAAGAGAACCGATGCGTGTTGAGTACAAGGCATGGTGTGAGTCGCATAAGAGAGAGGTGGATAAAGGTGCAGATTTGGAAGACAAAGTCCCTAGCCTCTGATTCCGACTCTACTCTGAAAACAGGTGCAGAAGCTGCAGGGCTGCCAGGAGACTGTATCAGACGGGAGGGATAACAGTAAGCTCAGGGCCGTGGGGCTGCCTCGCTAAGACAGGGCAGATGGCTGAGCTCTGGGTGGAGGTAGAGCGCCAGGCCTTTCTTGCAAGTTGCCTCTGGATGGAGTTCAGTCTCCAGACTTTCAGCTAGCAGCCCAGTGGATTAACTCTCTGCAGCCCCAGGGAGCCCGATAAAGGACAGTTACCCTTAACCACAGGATGGGCTAGGGAAGGGCTGAACTTGAAGCCCTGGGCACTTGGGGGTATCTTTAGGGTACTTTTGTACCCTGGGCTGGGGAGACAAAGGTGCTTGGGGGGTACGTGGTGTGGTGCAGAATGAACTGGAGAAGAAAGCCGCAGGCCTCAGACCCTGCCTGGGGATGCTCTCAGCACTGGACAAGGCCTGTAGGGTGGCCAGGGTCTCATGGTCATCCTTATAGAGAAACAGAGAAAACCCTGCTTCCTCCCAGCTGTCCTCCACCCCTCCCTCCCCGCTTCCCCACCAGCTTGCTGTTGCTGAGTCTGCTGCCTGGCAGGAAGCTCAGGGCCCTGTGGCCTCCTGTCCTTGTTCTTCATCCGGTCAGTGGCCACCCAAGCTCTCTGGGCGTTTCTCTCACCTGTGCTTCAGAGCGGCTTCAGTGGCACCTGGGTTATGCGTTGGACTGCGAACCGCAAGTCAGTGGCTCTAAACCAACCTTGAGGGAGAACCTCCTGGCTTCCTACTCCTGCAGAGAGTGGCAGCGTCAGAAACCCACAGGGGGCAGTTCCAACTTGTCCTGCAGGGTCACTGTGAATTGGAACCGACTGGCTGGCAAGCTCCATGCTATCTTCTGTTGCTCTGCGGCTGGGCTGCCGGCCAGGACCAAGTCCCACGCAGTCCACTTGCACTCATGGGCTAGAGTAAAGTTGTGCTTCCTCGCATGTCTGTGGCTGATTTTTTCATAGGTGGCTGCCAGGCCTTTCTTCCTAGGCATCCATGGGTAGACATGAAACTATGTCCTTTGGATGAGCTGCTGAGCAGGTTAGCCATTTGCACCACTGGGGACAGCCTCCCCCCAAGGGAAGGAGCCCCAGGCAGATGACAGTTGTCACCTGAGATCTCCTTGGTGCTTATAGGGTGGTGGCATTCCTGGGGAAGCCCCCAAGACTCTGGCCTGCCTTGTCCTCAGGGCTGAGGTCAGAGGGGAGGAAGGGGGGCAGACCCTGTGCTCCAGGCACAGGATCGTTGACAGCTCGTTGTCCTTTCTTGCAGGCCTGGGTCTGATCTTTGGACTAGAAGTGGGTAAAGGTGATGCACCTCCCAGCCGCCTGGAGCCCAGCTGGGGGATTTCCCGAGCCTGACGGATTTACAGGGAGATTCGGCTGCCCAGGGAGAGTGCTGACCGGCTCTCCGTGGGAGCATGTGGCCAGTGATCCTTAGGCAGGATCTGCTGTGGACTGCTGCAGCCTGGAGACCCAAGGGGACAGAGGACTGAGCTTCGCAAAGGGCAGAGATGGCCATCCTGGTCTTGGAGAGCAATGCCTGCTTGGCCATTGGCCACCTGGGGAAACGTAAGTTCCTGCCTGTCTCCTCTGTGTCCCCAGTCCCAGGGGGCTGTTTGGTGTGTTGGGAGTTGTGTTGTCCTGGTGGGTGGTGGGGCCTCCCTGGGAGCCTGGGGGAGGCAGGTGGAGGGAAGATGGCCCTGGGAGCTGCCCCTGTCCTCTGCGCTCACTTGTGGCTCAAGCCTGTCCCATTTTGTGGATTTTCCCAATGTGTGCACCTGTCTTGGAGACCATGAGCTCCTTGAAAGCAGGGACTACTTCTGTGTGACTCTGTCTCCCAGGAACACCACTGGGGTCTTCCATGATCTAAGCTGGAGGGGCCCCGCTGGGGAGGTTAAATAAGGAAAATGTACAGTGGTGATGGAGGGGGGGTCGAGGGTGTATCTCCGTCTCCTACTTACAGCTGTAAACAACACTAGACCCTTCAGTTAGAACCACAAGGGTCCAGTATTAGCTGGGCCTCCTTGGATCCTCATGGGACTGGGTGTGAATTACACACACACACACACACACACACACACACACACACACACACACACTGAAGTTGTGCCGTCTAGAAACAGGTCACCAGGACTTTCTTCCGACGGGCTTCTAGGCAGACTTCAGCCTCTTGATTAACAGCTTAGCACGCTACCTCCACGTGCCCAGGGACTCCCTCTTTGGGAAACCAAAAACAACCCCACGCCGTCAAGTTGATTCCGACTCTGAGGCACACTGTTCCCGCGGGTTTCCCCGGCTGTAATCTTTCTGCAGCAAACAGCCTCTTCCTCGCAAGGAGTGGCCGGTGGATTCAGGCTGCCAACCTTGCCCACAGCAGCTTGTGAGTGGCCTCGAACATGGCCCTACCAGGGCTCCCTCTTCGGAACCGCGTGGCCTGGATTTGGCATTAGATCATAGCATATTCCCTGGCTTGTGGGACTCCCTCTCGGGCCCTCAGGGAGTTAGGGTGGGGGCGGGTAGTTCTGGTGGTGGGAAGGCTTCTGGGCAGAGCCAGGTGGACAGGGTGGACTTTGAGCCTTGGGCATTGCTGGTCGGTGTGGTCAGGAACCTCTCTCCAGCTCAGGGAGGGAGTGGGTCCACGCTTGGCAACAAAGGCCCCTTTGGCGTGGTGCAGAGGGACTACATACGTCCAGGTGCCCCTGAGAGGTTGGAAACTCTGCTGCCGCTGAGGGATGTCACCTTCCTGCTGGGCTGCTCCGCAGGAGAGAGGCCGCTTCAAGGGCAAGGTCACCCGGGGACACCTGGCCCTGGGCCTCCTCTGCTACCACAGCCCTGCCTGCTCGATGCCATCTCTACCCGAGGTCAGGCAACAGGCCCCTCCTATTCACAGGCTGAACACACGGGCACCCCGTCTTCTCCTGCTGGCGACCAGGCTTGTCTGGCTTCTCTGTAAACTGGGGCCCAGGAACTTCAGTCGACGGGGCAGTGGGTAGGGGAGGCCCAGGTGCCTCCTGCTGCGAATGTTGGCTGGATGCTCAGAGGCAGCCGATGCACCCCTGGGCCTCTGGGAGTGATGGTGGCATGAGTTATTGAGTTCACACGGATTGACCAGACACTGCCCGGGCCATGGTTGGGGTCACATGTAATTTGAGGGCCTCGCAGTCTGGGGGCTCATCTTCTGGCTTTACATCAGACAGTCTTCTCTTGTGATCCACGGGAGTTTCATAGGCGAGTTCTCAAGCATAGATCACCAGGCCTTTCTTCCGATTCTGTCTTCATCTAGACCAGTGGTTCTCAACCTTCCTAAGGCCACGACCCTTTAATAATATATTTCCTCATGTGGTGGTAACCCCAACCATAAAATTATTTTTGTTGCTACTTCATCACTGTAATTTTGCTACGGTTATGAATTGGGCGACCCCTGTGAAAGGGTTGTTCAACCCCCAAAGGGGTCACGACCCACAGGTTGAGAACCGCTGGTCGAGACGCCCTGGTGAGACTTGCCCACCACAGGTGACCCTGCTGGTCTTGGAAATAACAGCGTCATAGCAACAGTACAGGCCCCACAGGGTGGCACCTTGGTGGCCAGGAGAGACAGACAAATACTTGGCAAGGGACTGAGCCCGGGGATTGGGATGAGGATGTGGTTACCGTCTAGCCTGGAGGTCCCGTCCCTGTTCTGGGGGAACCTGTGCCCTCAGCCTAGTGTGATGGGTGCCAAGCTTGCTGTGCAGATGTGACCTGTGGCCAAGCAGGGGTTGGACCATTTCAGGGAGGGGATGCTAGTGGTCTGGGGAGCAGGCGATGCGGTGTCCTGGGCTCAGGGTCCCCCCAGCTGGCTGGCTCTGACTCCCGTACACTCCCACCCTTGCAGGCCTCTCATGGCTCTGCTCCCTGCCCCTCCCTTCCTCCCTCCCTCCCGCTGTGGCAGCTGCACCCTCAGTTATCGCGCGGCCCACAGCTCTGTTTGTCCTGCGGTTATCGGCCGCTCCCCAGAACAGCCCATTGTGGTGGTCGGCGGTGGTCCCTGTTATCTCAGCAGCTCACGGGTGGGCGAGGGCCACTAAGGCCCTCAAACACTCCAAACCGTCGAGGTGAGGACTGACTCCGAGACCCCGTTTCTGTGTTGTGGCCTCCTGTGCTCCCGCTGCCCCTTGGATGTGGACCACCGGCAGCCTCCACTTGTGCTGGCATGGGCCCCCGTCACTCCATCCGACCCCGAGGGCCTACCAGTGGCCTCCACGCTGGGGTGGTCTCTTGGGCTGTGGCTGGTGCACAGAGGCAGGAGCCCAGGTGGCACAGCCCACTGAGCTAACCGCACAGCACCATTCTCCTCCATTCGCGGCTCTGCGGGAGAAAGATGAGGCTGCGTGCAGCTCGCGGCTTGAACTGTTCCTTCTGTTCTTTCTGTTGAAGAAGGGCTTGCACCTGGGACTTAACTCTGCATAGCCACGGAACACCGGCTCCGAAACTATACTAGTATATAAACCGAGGCCCAGCGAGGTTATGTAGGGCCAGTCTGGAGAAGCAGGCGGCTGCCTTCCCTGTTGCTCTCCCCATAGGAGAAGACCTTCCCCGGGCGCGACTCCGTGTTTATTTGTGTTCATGTGTTACCACGTTTAAAGTTGACACCATAAATTAGCCTCCTGTTCTCTGTGCACATTATAAGGTTGCTGTGAGTCTGAAGCCGATGTGCTGGTGTTGGGTTTGCACAGGTCGCTCAGAGCTCATGGATTTATTTGTGTCTTCCACATTCACGCGGTCCTGGCTGGACTGTGTCCAGGCAGGTCCCTGCCCGTCTCATCTTTGTGAGAGAAGTACATTTTGAATATTCTAGCCCTCATGGCGAAGTCAACAGGTGGAAACCACCAGTCACTCCTCAGGGGACAGATGAGACTTGCTACCCATGGAGAGTCGCAGTCTGGGAAACCCACAGGGGCAGTCATGTCCTGGCCTATCGGGTCACCAGGTGTGAGAACTGACCTGCTGGCAGGGAGTTTGAGTTTTGAGATGGCATCTCAAAGGATCTTGTTGCTTGTAGGCAGTATTCTTTGTTGTAGGACCCAGCCTGTCATGTAGCGAACAGGTGATGGCTGGGTCTCCTAGCCTTTGTTTTGCAAGCATTTACTGAGGACCCATTAGGTCCCAGACTCTGTTCATCATTATCTCACGACTGTTGAGTCAATGCCAACTCCCAGTGACCCTATAGGGCAGGGTAGAACTGTTCCTGTGGGTTTCTGAGACTGTAACTTTTGACAGGAACAGAAAGCCTCATCTCCCTCCTGCTGAGCAGCTGGTGGTTTTGAACTACTGACCCTGTGGTTAGCAGTCTGACTTGCAACCCACTACCCTACCAGGGCAGGCTCTGCTACTGACTCATAATACCATCTTCAGAGACATGGGTTTTGGCAGGGGCTGCGGAGCTGACAAGGGGTGATGCCTGTGGGGTTGTGGGGGATCCATGGTATAGGTGCACTGCTTCGATCCTGGGGTGCACATGACCAGTCACTGGTCACCCTACCTCGTGGGTGGGTGGCTGTGAGTGCCCTATGAGGATGTGCTGTTGCTGTTAGAGCATAACAAAGTCATGTTTTGCCGCTTGGCTGTGTGGCCACCCTCGGGTGATTGGATCTCTCTGAGCCTCACTGTCTGTCTGTTCCTGCAGGTTAAAGTCAGGTTAGTAACACCTCCGAGCCTCTGCTTTGGACTTGGTGCTGGGTAGCCAATCCACCTGCCGCCATCCAGTCTATTCCAAGTCACAGCAGGTCTATGTAGACAGGGTTTCCGAGGCTTGAATCTTTATGGGAGCCTGGGGGTGGGGTGGGGGAGTAGGGATTTGAACTGCAACCCTTGTGATTACCAGTCCAGTGGACCTTTGGACTGCTAGTGCTAGCTCCCTAAATGTGGATTACCCCCCACCCCGCTGAGGGCTGGGAGCGGGGGTGTGGGTGTGGGTGTGGGAAGCTGCTGCTTTCACCCACCCTGTCTCCCCCCACCCCTCCAGGAGCCTTCCCCTGGAGGCTGTGGGCGTGAGTACACCCCCCTCCTCTCCTGTGAGAAGGCTTGAGACAACACACAGGCCTGTGGAATTCAGAAGTTAATGAGGGGAGCATATGCTGAGAGGGTCTCTGTTTGACCCCCCACCCCTTCCCGGCCCTCCTGTTACCCCTGAGTGAGCTGGAAGGTGATTGAAGGTTTATAGCCACCTCACAAAGGCACTTTGAGGCAGTGAGGCTGGACTGTGGCCCTGGCACCGGCCAGGGTGTGTGTGAACCCCCGCCCCCTTTAGTGCTGGCTTCTCCCACGAAATGCCTTGTGGAGGGAGGGAGCAAGGCGGGCCAGTTGGGAGGAGAGGGGCATTCTGGGTACAGCTAGGAACCAATCTCAGCTGCCCAAAGGACAGGCATATGAAGGGGAGGAGAGATTTGAAAGCATATGCAGACCCACTGCTGTCCACTTGGTTCCGACTCATTGCTACCCAATAGGATGCGGGAGGACCTGCCTCTCTGTAGGGGCCCAGGGCTGTGAGTCTTTATGTGGAAGCAAATAAAGATCACCCCATCTTTCTC